TCGGACTAGAATACCGAAGACGTGGGTTCGATTCTCGCTAAGGGCATTTGATATTTTTCTCTCGTTCTCTCTATTTCATTACACACACCGAACACATAATTTATTACTCCCCTCCCCCCAATGTACTTCTAAAGTCGATAASAGGAGGGTAATTTATGTGTAATAAGAATGCTGTACTGACCTCTAGATCACAACAACTGTTCCACATGGCATCGGTTAACCAAGCAGCATCAGGCTTGGGAGGTCTTTCCTTTAAAACGCAAATCAAAATATTTCGTTATTTGAGAAACATAAAACGCGCGCGCGATTCTTTGCTTTGATATGTACACGCTGGGAGTTGTAGAACACAAGACAAGCTAAAGAACACGAGGTGTAAAGAGTTTTTTCTTGCTTTTCAAGTGCTCTGAAGAATGATTCTATCACAGCACAAAGGCACTTTAAGGCATTTTATATCACTCTTTATTGTGGTTAAGTTTTTATTTACGCGAGCCAGTCTCAGTCCTTTTATACATGCAAACAATGTGGTCAACCAATTAGAGCGCAGGACTTTATAACATACATATAAAATGTAGTGACGTAGTGCACAAACTATATTATAAATTTCATACCTTATCCTTATCCATTATTATAATATCTACATGTGTATATAATTTATTGACGCAGTGCGCAAACTATAGCACATAAATGTCAAACCTTATCCATGCCGCCACTTCCTCTCAGCAAGAAGTTCCATTCGATATCAGTAACGATTCCTTGCTGTCTCATGATATCTCCGCACAACATGAACGAGTAAACCAACTTGTGTTTCTCAAACAAACCTCTAGAAGATTATCGGAAAATCAATTGTTTCGTTAATCAGACAAGTGGGACGTATTGACCGTTTTGTTTCTATTGCATCTTATGAAATACTTTTGATGATGTGCAATATAACTGTTGGAGTGGTTGCGCCTACAGCACCCTCAAGATGATCAAACACTGTGCGTGCGTTTTTTGGAGCACGTTTTGTATGTGTGAGCACATCTAGATACATATAATTCAGCTAAGCTAGATTGCTGCGCATCCTTTACAACGAAAGGGAAAGTGCCTCCCAATAGTTATTTCACAGTCAAACAGCATGACCTCTCAACATTTGCTAGTTAACTAGCTTGCGATGCTCTTTGGTCTGCGGTGTTGCGAAGAAGAGAGGGGRAAACATCTTGTCTAGTCTTTTCTTCCTCTCTTCTTTGGGACACTGCAGATCAAAGAGCGGCACAGGTTCATTTTTAACCATTCAGACTCCGTGAGTTACCTTGCCACATTCACGTAAACTGTTTTTGTGCAGTTGTTCAGCAGGATTTCCAGTCTCTTGTCGAGATCGTCTGTCTTTTCGCTGTTCTCAATACACGTGTTGAAAAGCTGGRAAAAAAACCCGCCAAACCATTCAAATCAACAATAACTCACACTGTATTAAACACACTGTATTAAATACACTGTATTAAAGACTGGTATTAAACTTAAGAGACTATCTTACAGAGATTAAGACGCACCTGTTTGAAGTACTTTAACGAATACTGATACATAGGATCGACTTCAGCCAGACTAGCCACTACGAAGTACATGACGGAGCCTCTAGTAGCCACTGGTCTGTACTTCTCACGGGCCTGGCTAATCATCTCTTCTGTCTTCTCGGCTTCTTTCAGTCGATTGCTGATCACACCCGACGTCACCTAGAAAAGGAACAGAGGTTATTGTTTATTGCGAGATAAGCGAGAAGGGCAAAGCACAGGTTTGTTAGTCACTGAGAATTACGTGTTTCCCTAGTGAAACAAGAATTATTTAAGCGCTGCAATTTTTCCAAGAAAAGTCGGTTTTTAAAAATCATTGTAGGGCGCGCATGTTATCGTGTTTGCAGTGATAAAGCAGTCAATTGTATCAATGAGATAAGCTGAATAACCATCATCAAGAAGGATACTTATTCTCATTTTATCGACCATATTTCAATATGTTTTGTAGTTCTATTTACTCTCTAGTAACTAACCTTGGACTCATTCAACGTGTTAATGAGAACCTCATCATCCAGAATATTCCCCTCAGAATTGAAGAGTAACTTTAGGATCCTGTCTTCGATGGCCTTCAGTTGGTTTTTATCAGAGTTGATTCGTACAATCAGCTGGTTACGTTGGTCTTCAAGATCTGGTCTCTCTAGACGCACAACGTCACTAAAACAAAGAAAGAAATGAATATTTGAAAAATGTTTTTGCACACATGGCCTGGTTAAGCAGCTCTTCCTTCTCTTCTCTCCACTCGTCTCGTCTTGTCTCCTCTCATTACTGTTTTACTCAATCACGTGACGAGAGGTGTGAACATGTGAACTCAATCTGTTTTGCGAGCGCGCCGTTATGGTTCTTTYGGTATCATTTGTAGCTGTTTCACATTCTCATGAGGTCGAAAGCCTTCATCTTCGGTCCCTATCTTTTGTTAATGAGGCCTAATGGAAATACGATCGAGTGAATATTCTTACCTGAGCAGCTGATCCTCCAGGCCTGATTTAGTAACGGTGAAGTTAATGATAGTGACTTTGATGCAGACTTCCGGTAGATAGTGTGGATTGGACAACTTGGTTGTCATGTAGAAACGGAAATTCTTGTCATAGTCAACATCACTGTCACCCAGACGAATAAGAAGACGTCCACCCTGGAACAAAACAAACGAGTAAATGACCTATCCTTACTAAGCTGGGACAATGGTGAGACTCATAAGCACAGACACGGTCATCATTTGTATTACAAAATATGATAATATAACAGTGTAGGGAAGTCCACCAGCCTTTGTAATGGATCTTGATCACATGGCACAATGATTATCCCCACCAAGAATAAAAATCTTCATTTTACCTTTAGTAACCTCGTCATGAAGCGCTTTGTGCGTTCAAGCTTTGCRCCCTAAATAAGCGGAGCTCAACAAGAGGAATAGGAAAGACCTTGGGAGCACGCGACATGAGAGGGAGGGGGCAGGGAATAGAAACGTCTGAGAAGTGACCCATTCATTATCTTACCTGTACAAAGGTCTGTTTGAGGAGTATAGGTTCCAGTGCAGGATCAAGAGTCTCTCCCAGTTCTTCCAGTAACACAGGCATACCAATACGAATACAATTCTCTAGCGTACGTAAGAAGTTATTWTCTGTTAGCTTGATGACCTTCAGACCGTTCTTGGCTTCCTTGGATCGAATCCATCGATTAGCCTGATAAACAAAATGGCAGCCAATTAGTACCTTGGAATAGAATGAAATAAGATGCACAAAACAGACATACCTGATCCTGAGGGTCGATCATAAGTGGCCATCTTCGTCCCCTTGTCACAAGAATTGCATTCTCAATTGAAACCTTAAAAAGAGACATAAAAAAAAGAGAAAGTTGAGTGGACTATGCTCTTAAGTAACGAGTTTCCTATATGACATGTTAACTTACAGAGTCTCTCGGAAGTCCGTCGGCATTCCATTGTCTGATCTCGTACGGATCGGCCAACACGTTGATTAGACTGAAGTCCTCGGACACAGGAACCCCGAGGTCTTTGCAACGTTCTATCCATGATGTTATAAGCTGAGTCGCGAAAAAATACAAAACTATTAAGATACTGCGCTTATGTTGCCTGATTGCCCTTGGTTAATGAATRTCCAATAAATGGTATTGCGCATTAAATTGAGTATGTATAGCGCGCGTTTCAAATTTATCTGGCGCTCACAGCTGAACTACTTTAGCTGTAGATACAAGCAACATGCTATGAGCAGTCTTTTAACTAAGGATACACTATTCCAGCATACTTACCTCAATGCGATAGATGTTAGTGAAGGCACCAAAATAGGCAACACAGGCTGCAGCAACGAATACGTTCCCCACCACATTACCGATCTCCTTCTCGAACGCCTAAACAATGGAAAAGGAATGCATAGGTCAGGATTGCCTCATCTGCAAACGAAGCACTACCAACATTTATAAACCCTATTGAAACATGGCCGTAGAAGGCGGAAGGGGTGTGGGACTGGTCGGGGGGAAGTAACCAGAGGGCAAGAACAAACCCTTTTTGACTAATATTTTTCAAATTTTCTTCTTGCATGTGCAATAAATAAATTAGCAATTTTAGAAAAAACGACATGGCCTTAAAAATATATATAAAACCTATCGTGTCCTCAAAAGTACCACAAATATGTGCGACGTATCTAGGATTTGGCCCCTCCCTCCAATGTACTGAAAATGTATGATTCAATCCCCCTCTCCACGCCCTATTAAACAATTCCGCGTCCCATAGAAAAGGAACCGTAATGATGATGTATTGATAGCTGAATTTCAAGTATGTATCACCTACCGCTACGTTCTCGGTCCATCTGCCCTGCTCATCCCAAAGTACTCAATATGTATGATTTAATCCTCCCTCCCCACGCCCTATTAAACAATTCSGCGTCTCATAGAAAAGGAAGCGTAATGATGATATACAGATAGCAATTTCAAGTATATATCACCTACCGCTACGTTCTCGGTCCATCTGCCCTGCTCATCACCAAGAGCAGTGGTTAGTTTAGAGGCTCGTTTTAGTCTGTTAGCAGTAGTAGCGATGTTCTTGGTCAGGGTTTCTTTCTCTGCGATGCTGTTATCATAAGCAGCTTGTAGTTCAGCAATCTGGACGATAAAGAATTAGCAGGAATATTACTGATCGTGATGATGATACTTATTATTACGATGATGATCCAAATGATAATAGATAATGATGATGATGATCTCAAGATAAAGATGAACATGGGCGATGATGAGTTACAAGTTTTTTTTTAGCTCAGATGATGATGACCATCACAAACATACATAACTGTATTYAGTAAACCAGGTTAAAAAATCGGAAACTTTACAGCAGATGTGGACGATCACGATCAAGTTAATGTTAATGTTAGGYTATTGTTGATGATACTGCTCGCCAGCTGGTAGTAATGATGATTTCCTCGTATATTACAGATAATCTTGAATTTCTATGGTAATAAGAGAAGCTAAAAAGCCAAGCCCTTCCTTACCTTTCCTTCAACTTCTGCCAGACTGTCTTGTTTCTCTTTCAGAGTAGACATTACGATATCCAACTCAGCCTGCGCAGCTTCCAGTCTAAGAGAAAAGTAAAGAYATTTGAAAACCAAAGCGTCATAATTCCTGAACGATTCAAATGAATATAAAATTCTCTAAATGCAAACAAAAAGTGGAAGGAATGAGCGTTATAACTTACTTTTTCTTTTTGGGTTCGACAGTTCTGTAGACCCTGGCGTACAGATCCATGGCTCTCACCCACATTACCATGGACCGACAAGCCTATAAAGAGTRAGAGAGAGATCTTTTGTTTGAGTGGGTTTAAAAGTACGGTTTATAATAGACCTCTTTATCTTGGGCGTAATGTTTTCCCATTTCAGAAAATTTGTCATTGCCTAAAGAATTATTTCTTCGTTTAACGGTTGCGAATGAGAAGTCACAGGAATATAGATACAAGTCTAGCAAAAAATCGTATTATCAGCAAGAGAATGACATGTGGTATGAAATTCTCGGCCACAGAACTGATGACCACGAATCCCCCCTCCCCTTCCCAAAAATGGAGCGTCATAACTGATCAATGTTATTGGTGGCATGTKTGAAGTAGTTACAACAGAGTTACAGCTTTTCAAGTGCTTTCAAAAGTTCGCAGCTTCAAGATTGCTGTCTTCCAGTCCCATATGTAAATTATCTTAAGATTCTCTCCCATGCCTTGATGTTGTTTCTTTTTTCTTTCTCGGTACTCTGGCTGTTTTTTCTCCACAAAAAATTATTTTCCTAAACCTGAGTTCGATTTAAATTATATTACGGCCACAGTAAATGATGACTGCTGATGTTGTGTGACAAGGGGAAGCTACGTGAGAATAAAAAGAAAAGACATTTTTCAGGCTTACCTTGGAGACTTTTTCTACAACCTCAACCACAAACTTGGGATTTTCGATGTACTTTTTAAGTTTTCTTAAAGTTGCCTCTGGGATGTTGTCCTATAAAAACATCAAGCATTAGAGTTGATCTTTGAACTGACTGCACAACGAAATGTAGTGGTAAAAAAATAAAATAAAAAATAAAAAAAAAAAACCCAGCAGAAACAGCTAAACATATCATATTTGGCTTAAGTAAAACTCGACCTGTACCCCATGTTTACCTTATCGTATTCCATCAGTTTCTTCAGGAAACCACCATCACCAAGAACRGTCTTGGCCGTAGCCCAGTCAGGCCTTGGGGAAAGAAGACAGTATATAGTTGTTAGATAAAACGTGCCAAAGGAAAGAGCATATCATCACCGCCTCTCGTCGCCATCGCCATCGCCATCGCCATCGCCATCGCCATCGCCATCGCCATCGCCATCGCCATCGCCATCGCCATCGCCATCGCCATCCCCATCATATCACGATCAGCGCCATCGTTATCATCACCTCTCCCACTACCACACTATTGACATTATCTTATCACCACTACCACTACCACCACCACCACAATCATTATCAACACGACCACCAATACACTTTGCAATTAGAATCACCATCATCACTATCATCACTACTCTTTATCGCTACCACTTTCACCAACGTGTTTGTCACAACAGCTCCACAAGGTCTCCAAAATAAAAGGCAAAATGTGTCTTCTCTATAACTTACTTGGTACCCAGTAATATACAGATAGATTCCATGACAGTCATAACCAGCTCAGGGGGCTTGGTGAAGACACGTAACTCGGATATATCACTCTTATCAAGAGAATCTAAGGCCTGAGGGGAAAAAAAACCCAATAAAACAGCTACTGTGAAAAAACTAGTTTTGGTTTTCTCACTATGATGTTTAGGAATTTCTTCGAGATTTTTTCTACGTTTTCTCTCTTTTACTCCCTCACTCATAAAACGATGAGCATAGGTTTGTTAGCTGCAGAGCCCGTATGTGTTACCCTTGTCTTGACAAGAGAGAGCTTACGATGATTTGTTAACGGAGCCGCACCTTGTTAGCAGCCTCAAGCGCAGGTAAAGCTTCGTCCAGATCCCTTTGCGCCTCAGCCGCGATAGCCTGGGTCTCGTCGGCCTTTTCCTTTGCGACGGCTTCTTCAGCTTGAACAACTTTACGAACCTAAAATAAAAATAAAGGGTTATCCTCGAGTGCAATAGACCAATGCGCATGTCCTAACTATGCTTACTTTGTCAGCTTCATCCTGATCAATCTGTAGCTTCTCCATAAGTTTTTCAACATCAAGTGATTTCTGTTTGAGTAGCGGCTCCAGGGCAACCAACTCCACTTGCATGTTATCGACCAGGTCATTAGTTTCTAGCAGCTTCTTTAGACCGTTCTTRACTCGATCTCGTGCGCCAGTCAGTTGTCTACAAAAAGTGAGAAATATTCAGAGATCTACGCAATAGACGTTTGAGTGTGATATTATTCACAAAAGATTTTCGGGTCTAAAATAGATTTTCTGAATTAAACTTTGTTGTCAAAAATTCTGCTTGTTCAAGGGGGATAAAAAGTGTTTTCACATTTTTTATTTATCTATTTCGGCRTTGTAATTGACTTTTATTTTATTTATTTACGTAGTTTTATCAATGACATTCATCTAAGGAGTCGTACCCAAGTTGTCATGAAAGGAATTAGCTCAACAGAGCTGGCCTCCAATTTAGTACCCCCTAACGATTATTATTATGAAAATCATCCCAGGACCCAGAAATATGTTACAACGGTAAGCTCTTTTCAACAACAACAACAACAACAACAACAACAACAACAACAACAACAACAACAAAGTATTTACGAAGTCATCAGTGACATTATGAGATTCAAAGTTTAACAAGTTTATGATAAAATCATCAATGATAACAGCAAAGAACTTTGTAGAAGAAATAAGGAGGTCCTGGAGACCATGAAAGATGATTCAGTAGAAGAAGTAAGAGATCAAAAGGGACTTACTTTCTTTTCTCCTCAAGCATAGTCAAGTACAGATTGATCAGTTCCAGGTAGCTGGTAGGAGTAGTGTAGTATCTTCTGCGCAGTTCAGCAAAGAAGCGGTCAGCCATTGAGCTTACACTTGTATGGATTTCTACACACATCTCYGCGACACGATCCTGGTAAAAATCACAACGATGTGACGACACAAAAGTCAGTGCATTTGTAAATCTCAAACAGAGGGAAAATGCGGAGGAAGGGGAAAGGAGGGGGATGGGGCTAGAGGTGGTAGGGGGGAGGAGTCTTTCTCGTCTTTTGGGTGTCTGTCTGTCCATCTTTCTCATACCTTGACTCCTTCAGCTCCCAGATCAACTTCTTCGAAGAAGTTCGTAGACACAGACAGCAGGGCCTCCCTGGATAAGGATAAAAGACAGAATTACCGACTATCGTTACGAAATAAATAATATCAAGGTGATGCAAAGATTTTGTAGTACATTAAAAGCCAAAATGATTTGGCTTGGAAAGATGCTCGGCTATGAGAGGCAATGAATGTCTCAGCAAGAAATGATGAATCCAACCACACTGGCTCATTAGATCCGTGTGTCTCAAAGATGGCGATATATTATAGAGCTTCATATCATTATACAAACCTTGGCCATTCAGTAAACCAGTCAATGGTACAACAGTTSACAAGAGATGGGAACATTCTGCAGCGAGTACGGAAAGCATCACCAACTGGACTCATGCACAACACGATGTGCAGGTTGCTACGTACTCGACTGATGAAATGATTGTATACAGCATCTCTGACAAAAAGGAAGAAAGAAAGTTAGACTGAATCTTCATACTAATCTTCCTGTCTAAGTAGATAAAACAATGATCACCTCCTGGTTGATTGGCACCGGCCAGTTGTGCGGGAGGTTGTGGGTTCAAGTCCCGTGACCTGACCAACACTCAGGGTCTAAAACGATATGAGCCGGTAGAAAGTTTTGAATTCACTCTAGAAATACCTACGAATTGTTAGACCTTCGTCCTGGCTCGATCGGTTGCCCACGTAAAATGACGGAGGGCCACAAGTTTATCAGTATTAAATTGCGGTTTCAAGCTATCTTACCTGTCTCCCTCAGGTACCCCAGCTTCCTTTGCGTGTGGTCTAGTTCCATTCAAGACCTGTTCATATTCTTCGGGCTCAAACAAGTTAGGCACCTGGTGAACAAAACAGGGTTCAAAACTTTTCTTCTTACACTAATTACATATTTAATCTTCGAAGGACTTTTGATTTTCAACTTTTGATTTACAAAGCTATATGGTACTTAAATAGAAATCTTCGTGTTAGCTTAGTAAAGATGCCGTTTTTTCTTTTTGGCAGGACATCACTGCCTTCCAGCGATCGATTTATATCACATTTTACCTCTCCTGAGTTCAGGATATTGTTGATATCCTCGAGAAATTCTTCTACCACAATCTAAACAAGCATAAGGAAAAGTAAATAAAGGTATCAGGGTTGTGAAGATTACGTTATTTTAGGATCAGTTGTAGCATTCGATGGCGGAGTCAATCCAAACAACAACAACAACAACGAAACATCATCAACAACAGCAGCAAACGTCAACAACGACGGAAACAGTAACAGCAGCGACGGCGACAACAGCAACAGTAGCAACAAAGACACTCAGCAATAGCAAAGGAAACAGCAAGAGCAAAGACAACAGCAGCAGCAGCAACAGCAGCGACGGCGACAACAGCAACAGTAGCAACAAAGACAGCAGCAGCAGTAGGAACAAAGACAGCAGCAACAGCAAAGACAACAGCAACAATAGCAACAAAGACAACAGCAACAAAGACAACAGCAGCAGTAGCAACGAGTACAGCAGCAACAGCAAAGACAACAGCAACAGCAAAGACAACAGCAACAGCAAAGACAACAGCAACAGCAAAAACAACAGCAACAGTAGCAACAAAGACACTCAGCAATAGCGAAGGAAACAGCAAGAGCAAAGACAACAGCAGCAACAAAGACAACAGAAACAGCAGCAACAAAACCGACAAGGATTCTAGTGCCCATTGATATCTGCCATACCGACCTGTGTATCTGTGAAGAGAAAYACTGTGTTTTCACCCTTGACTCCAGCATAGTTATATAGCTGTTTCAGATCTTCACGGAACGATGAGTAATCATAGCCACGGGTCAGCTCGATCTGAAAGCACCTGTATGTRGACATATGACAGGCAAGCCTACCATGGATAGGTAAACAATGGGTTAGTTATAAAAGAACCGTCACTTCAGCCAGGTACATAAGCATAAGGGGCAAGGATCAAGAGAAGAAGAGGCATGTATTAGCATGTTTAGTATAGAAACGCATTTCATGGATAAATATGTAATGGGTTAATTACAAAAGAACCGCGTCACTTGAGCTATAGTCCGAGCCAAAACTGTTGATATTCCCCTCATTATTTACTTCACATTTAGTATTTGCATAACTTTCAATAAATGGATCTCCACTTACTCTTATCAAACCCCTCCCTCAGTTCAAAGTTGTTTCTGTAAGAAATACACACACACTCAAAGTAGAAGCTGATCATCTCAATATTGCTAAGGGGGAGGGGAAGTGATGCTTGTGTTGTGTTTGGATAGGAAGGAGAAGTTGAATATAACTCTCAACTAGTTTTAACGAGGATTTAGGTACTACCATAAGGAGTAAAGGATTAAGGGAGGAAGAGGAAGAGGAAACACATGAAAAATACACCATCATCAAAGACTTAAAGCTGATGGTCTACGCTTTTCTTGGCGGAGGAAGAAGGCTCCTGAATATTAATGAGGATGGAGTATGGAAAAGGAAAGAGGGTAAAAGAAATACGGTGTGACTACGAAAATGCTGACATAG